ACAAATGATGCTGGCATAACTGGATGTCAGCATGTAGAAGAATGCAAATAAATCGCTATCACCCTGCACAAAGTCCAAGTTCAAGTGGACCAAAGACTTCAACATAAATCAAATTATACTGAAACTAACAGAAGATAAAGTGGGGAATAGCCTTGAATGCATTGGCACAAGGGACAACTTCCTGAATAGAATACTAGTAGCACAGACACTGAGATCAACAGTTAATAAATGGGACCTCACGACATTGAAAATCTTCTGTAAGGCAAAGGACACTGTCAATAGGATAAAATGGCAGCCTACAGAATGGGAAGAGATCTTCACCAACCCCACATCCTACAGAGAGCTGATCTCCAAAATAGATAAAGAACTCAAGAAACTAGCCATTAAAAACCCCAAATAATCCCATTAAAAGTAGGGTACAGATCTAAACAGAGAATTCTCAACAGAAGAATCTCAAATGGTAGAGAAACACTTAAACAAATACTCGTCATCCCTAGCCATGAGGGAAATGCAAATCAAAATGACTCTGAGATTTCATCTTACATCTGTCAGAATGGCGAAGATCAAAAGCAAAAATGACAGCTTATGCTGGAGAGGATGTGGTGTAAGGGGAACACTCCTCTTCTGCTGATGGGAGTGCAAACTTGTACAACCACTTTGGAAATCAATATGGCAGTTTCTCAGAAAACTGTGAATCAGTCTGCCTCAAGACCCAGTGATACCATGCTTAGGCACACGCCCAAGGAATGCTGAATCATACCACAAGGATACTTGCTTAACTATATTCATAGTAGCTTTATTTGTAATAGCCAGAACCTGGAAACAACCTAGATGTTCCTCAACAGATGAATGAATAAAGAAAATGTATTACATTAGACAATCAGATTCTTAAAGGTAACAGTGAATTCAAGTTCAGTACAAAGTTGACATCTCCCTCCCTCAAATCCCTTCTCTCTAAAAGACAGATTGCTCAGGTTACTAATTTTGATGTTGTTATTGTCCTTCATCTTGGTTTCAGAATTTTAAGATGTGGCTTTCCTGATCTCTTTCCAGTTAGTTGCTGATCCACTCACATTTATCTTATTCCTCTCCCTGTGGTTCAAAACATTGTTAAGCTCAAAGACATAGCTCTGAATATTAATTAGCACTAGTTCTGATTTGTATTCTGAATTTAAATTCCTGAATCACTACCATAGCTTCCTAGACTATCCTTTACCTCTGGGATACATCCTGTGTATCTACATCTACCATTTGAGTAATTGTCCATCTGTTCATATCTTTAAAATTACTGTACTCTAGAAGTTAATACTTTTTGTTCCTGATAGCAATACCAATCTTGTCCCTTCCGCATTGAACTGAATTGTATTTTACATATAATATTTTCATTGAGTGCAAAGGGCAGAAGATTCACTGTCTTGGGTCATCCATTGTCTTCCTTACTGTTCTCTCTGTTACCTACCACATGCAACACATAACCAAGTCTTGTATAGCCTACCTCACAAATGTCTCTTCAACACATCTACTTGTCTCTCTTCCAACCATCTTCACACTGGCATCTTTTACTTGGAATATAGAAGTAGTTTCCTTCTAACCTTACCTCTCGTGCTAACTTTGTGTCTACACTATAACTATTGAATTTTTTTTTTTTTTTTTTTTGCGAAATACCTTCCAATGGCTCTTCATTTCCTTCTCCATAATTCCCAAACTTTAAAAACTACTTATAAATGTCTGGGTATGTCATTAAATAGCTTAATATTTGCCTGCTGTGCTTAAGGCCTGGCCTTCACTGAGAAGGGGCAGGGGCAGGTTGCTTAAAAATCTTACATAGGCAAATTAAGAGAGCAAAGGTGCGTTAGACCAGTTATTTGTGTAGTAGGTAAAATATAGTAGTAGGTAAAATAAAGATTCATCTCCCAGAGCAGAGACAGCAGAAATTCCACAGTCTAAACATCCCTGTTGCTTTCTTGTCACCATTGTGTTTTGTCATTTTGCCCATCATGGAATTCCCTGTCATCCTGCTCACCATTCTGATAACTTAGTGAGAGGGAGGCTGGGCTCAGATGCCAGCTCAGCCACTTACCTACCATGAGACCTGGTTCAATTACCTTCCTCGTCATGCCCGAGTTCCCCATCCATAATGGGATGGTGATTGCCAATTATCTTATGGTCTTGTTACGATGAAGTGACCTAAAGTTCCAGTATCATAACAGGACTCACATGCCACACCATTTGTACTCCTTATTATGAGAGGTCACTTTTCCTTTAGAATGGTATTTATGGCATTATACCATTGGCAAAATACCAATGGTATATTATGACAGATAAATAAATAGTCAAATAAGTCCTTGTCTGATAAATTCTGTAACATAGGAACATAAAAGATACCTTGAGAGTTTAGGGGCATGGGAACTAGAAATCTTGAGGTCATGATAAATTAGAAAGACACAGTATATTTAAAGTTAGGGAACAACATGCTGTGAGTTTTATTTTTAACAAGTTCACTTTGGCTCTCAGCTGGAGGACAGACAAAAGGGATGAAGCCAGAGCCAGGAAAACCTGTTTGGGAGCTGTTTCTGCTGATCACTGCTCATACTCACGAGTGCTAACAGGTACTCTTCAGGGCACATTGCCTGAATTCAATCCATTAAGTTCTCCCAGACATCGAGTGAGGTTGCTTGCCATTTTATTTTTTGTTCTGTTTTATAGATTAAACAAAGAGAGATGGAGTAACTTTCCAATTCATATCTTTGGTCAGAGGGAGTGCTGGGATTAGAATCCAGACAGTCTAGTTCCAGAACTCATGCTCTAAATCAGGATGGTGTGAAATAACCCAGGAAGACTTGAATGATGGCAAGCAAGTGACATTAGTCCTTGATATGAGTAGTGTTTGTCTATATAAAATGGAGGTAGAATCAAAAGGGTTTGATGCTTGATTACATTAAGAGGCTAAGGAAAATTAAATCATTTAACCATTAAATTTTTGGCTTGGTATTTTTGTTGGACAGATATGCTTCCTTGAAACTGTGATCTTAAGGAGATGGCTGATTATTGAGGGCAGGTAGATGGTGATAGACCTGGGGCTTATGCAGGGACACTTGGCTCAGCCTGGGAGGAAGGGACTGAGTCTACCAGGTTGATCTCAATCATCGGGGGAGGCTTTGCCCTGGAGGAGGTGGGAATGGGGAGTGCACTGGGGAGAAGGGGAAGGGGGCGGGAGGGGGGAGAACAAAGTAATCCGTGGCTGATACGTAGAACTAAATTATATTGTAAAATAAAATAAAATTAAATTAAAAAAAATAAATTGTGTGTTTAGTGGGTACCCAAACTCCAGTTCAGTCCTTCCACAAGAGCTGATAGGTTGTTAGGTCCACATCCCCATCTGCCTGCCAGTCACCCTAGCCACCACCCTACTGAGCACCTGTACATTGTTTGGAGTCTAACCAGAACTCCCATTGAACTGTAACAACTTTAGACACTCCTTTCTCTAACAAAAGCAGAGTGACCAGAAGACTGATTACCAATAAGCTGAAACAAAATGTAACAGGTTGGAATAATACCAAACAATGATCCGAACAACTACTCGACACCAAGAAGACATGATTCCAAATACCTAGACTCAATGTCATAATAAAAACAACACAAATAACCAAGACAACATGTCTCTTTCAGAAATGAGCATCACCAGTGTATTGTTCTGTGTGTAAAGTAACTTAGCCAATACACAGGATAATGATTTCAGAACAACAATTCTAAATGTATTCAAAGAGCTCAGAGAAGATAGGAACCATTGCCTGAATGATGACCATGAAAACACAGTCAAATTAAACGATGAAAACAATTTAAGATATTAAAATGGAATTTAATAAAAAGATAAAAGGTTTCTAAAGAAAGTCAAAATGAAATGAAACTCAAAATGAAAAGCTCGAAATCAAAGAGCTCAGAGGAAAATATCACTAACAGATTGGATTATGTAGACGAGAGCCTATCATGTCTCAAAAACAAGGTAAGAGATATGGATAATTAAGTCAAAGAAAATGTTAAATATAAAAAGCAACTCAGAAATGCAACATGAAAGAAACCTATAAATGGGAACCCATAACAAAGTCAAACCTACAAATAATAATATACAAGGAGAAGAAAAGCAGGTCAAAGATGCAAAAATGTCATCAATAAAATCATAGGAGAAAATTTCTCAAATCAAAAGAAGAAGATACTTATTAAGGTATAAGAGACATACAAAACACCAAATACAAAGGTTCAGAAAAGGAACTTTCCATCACATAATAATCAAAGCTCTAATATATAGAAAAAAGAAAGGATATTGAGGAGAGAGAGAGAGAGAGAGAGAGAGAGAGAGAGAGAGAGAGAGAGAGAGAGAGAGAGAGAGATATGTGGGCAGGCCCATTAGAGTAACATCTAACTTTCAGTGGTAATTTTGAAACCCAGGGCAATTTTGAAACCCAGAAGGGCTTGGACTGATGATTTACAAATTCTTCATGGTCACAGATGCCAGCCCAGACTACTATACACAGCCAAACGATCAGTCATTATCAAAGAAGAAAAACTTTCTCTGTAACTACCTCCTCTCTAATTCATGCCCTTTTCTTTTATATTTATTTTGTTGTATTTACATGTATGTTGCTACCATGAATACTGAATAATGTAAATTTCCTTTTCTTTGTATGTGACATATATGATAACACATCACTAAGGCAAAATGGTGGCCAGCCCAGCCCAAACTAGTTAAAGTAGGAATTGTATTAACATCACTTGTGACTTTACTATTTTAAGTGCACTTAGTTACATGCATCCATTATTACAGATTTCTAGTCAGTGATTCTGCAGACTTGGCTCAGTTACAGTAAAAGTCTGTCATTAATAGCCCCTTGCATATAGATATTTAGTATGCTAAGTGTATGCTAAGTCTTTTTACCTGCAAGTCATTTTATGGGTGCAGAGGATTTCATGATCACTCCCAATTATTTGCTTTCTCTCTCTAGGAAGCCTATAAAGATTGGTCCTGGTATTCCTTTCCAAATCCACATCAAGTTTTGGTTACATGACTTGTTTTGGTCAATGTAAGTATAAATAATATATTTCTTGTTCCTATAAAATGTGTTAAGAGCCATCTTGTGGGTGGGTTCACAATTGCTTTTCTTTCTTCTGTCTCAAGAACAGAATATATAAACTGGACAGAAAGTTCTTCTATAGCCTAAACCCAATACACAAATAGATCAAGCTGTAGACAGCCCACAGCTGATGGAAACAGCAGATCAAGATTGGATTGGGGTGATAGGTTCCTACAATATTTTTTAACTGTTGCCAAAGCAGAAACTGATTAATATCAGAAGATTCTTCAAGCTTTCCAAGCTTGATGATGTTCTTTTTGGGGCTCCTTTTTTGTTTCTAGTTACTAAAACAGTACATTTCATCCTTTCCTAAATTATTAACCTGCAGAACTTGTGTTAGTGGTTTAATAGGTTTAGAATAGCATCATTCTCTGTAGAAATTATTATAATTGAGCTTTAAAAAATCCATAAAGTCTTATCACCTCTACTAGTAAGTCAGGTTCCTTTCTAATTGAACATTAAAATTTTAATTTCTGGAATTTAAAATTCAGATTAGGTATGGAGTTATATATAGTAATATTTTTGTGCTTTGTTCTTATGTTTATTTGCAGGGGGTTTTGGTGGGTTTGTCTGAAAGTTTAACAAATGTACTGAGAACATTGTATGCTAGGAGTATAGCAGATACATTCAGACTCATTGCATACCAGGGCTGTATTAGATGTTTTCAAAGCTAGCATCATATTGAATTGCTCTAATGAAACTAATTTTGGGATGTCAGAAATGAATTTGTTAAAAAAAAATGACACAGCAGATTTGGGAACATACCTCTGTTATAAAGTTCTTGCATTTGCAAGCACCAAGGCCTGAGTTTGATTCCTAGAACCCATGTGAAAACAACAACAACAACAAAAACCAAACCAAGCCAACCAACCAACCTACCAAACAAACACAAACCAAATCCAAGAGAACTTGTAATCTCAGTACTCAGGAAGCAGAGACAGGAAGACGCTGGGGCTTTCTGTCCAGCCAGCCCAGCCTAGCCTACTTGGTGAGTAGTAGGCCAATGAGAGATACTGAATTAAACAAAACCAAACTATTAGGGATGATACCTGACAGACCACATGTGAGGCTGGATTTTGGCTATGTACACACACACACACACACACACACACACACACACACACACACACACGTGTGTGTATCTGACATGTGTACCTCTACATGTAAACACACTCACACATGCACACATATAATACCAATAGTGACCATATTAGGTAACTGTGCTTAGAAGAAAGAACTTGCTCTCTCAGAATGGATAATTGAAACCTTTGATGATCTGCTTCTAAACTTAATAGCTTTGCTTTTATTTGTCATGATTAAATGCTTCCAGTAAGTAAGCTTTTGCATATGGGCCTCACTTAGGTCTATGAAGGTGTTGCCTGGCTATTGATGGGTTCAACCTCAGGCTTCAGGAGAGGTTCTTGTTCTCCAGATGCCTGCTCATTGGAGGACCTTTCCAAGGAGCAGGGAATATGTCATCAAGCCATGGGCGGAGATGCTCCAGGAGACTTAGGAATGTGCTGTTCTTTAACACTTGAGTCTGTAGTCAATGGACTGTCATTTTCATCACTTCAGGTGAAAAACGTGGAAGTGTCTAAGGTTCCTGGAATTGGGAAGAATATTCCACCTTTGAAGCATAGCAAGGATGAGGAGTGAAGAAGGATTGAACTTGCATAATTTCCAAAAGAAACAAACACATAAAATGCTTTTCATAATTATGAAGTCAACTGTATCTCATTTCTTTTAATTTTTTTATTATTATGTGATTACATACAAAATTTGTAAGAACTGATATATTTCTAATATGAGAGAACATTTCAAATAAAAAGCTTTATTTAACAAGTTTTAGATTGCTGAAGTAAATTTGACTCGAAATTTCATGTTATCTATGTTTAAAAATAAATCATACTACGTGAAGAATATCAGTGATCATGGAAAGAATATATTTACTAACTGGCATTTTCAATTCTGAAATTCCTGGTCAGATATATGGTTATAAGGGGCAGGTAAAACATGGCCCCGTATACTACCTTTACATATTACATATTACCTTTGCTTCTTACATATCTGTGTTTCTGCAACTAACTCATGACCATTAATTTGAAAATTATTTATTAGATCTAGTGAGATGGAAAGCATTCAAGATAGCTTCCAATGACTCCTGAATCTTAGTACTCATGCCCTCATGGAACATCCTCCTTTTACATGTGGAAGATTAACCTGCTTCTTTCTTTTTCTTTATTTTTGAGATTGTAGTTTAAATACAGTGTTTCCCCTTTCCTCCTTCCAAGCTCTCCCATATATTCCTCCCTGTTCCCTTTCAAATTCATGGCCTCTTTTTTCATTAATTGTTATATACATATATATTATATACACATACACACATATATTGTTATATACACATATATATTCATATGTATATTTATATATTTGTATATACATGTATATTCCTAAATACAACCTATTGTGTTATCTTATGAAAGGCTGGAACTTCCATTGAGCAAGAAAGTATCCTGGATAGAAGCTTGCTCTTCAAGCCAGGCAATCATGAAAAGCCAAAGATCAAGCTTGTGTGCACTGCCCTATGGAAGAACATGTATAACAAGTGACTAAAGGAAGCCTCTGCCGACATCAGGAAGTAGTTTCTATTACCAGCAATGTAAGTAGGCTTGACAATGGGTCTTTCACCAGTTGTCTTCTGATGAGTTTAGCCCATGCTATGCGGGAGCTGGCAACAGAAAAACTCAGTGAAGTTGCACCTGAAAACTGTGGGATAAACGTGTAAGCCACCAAATTTTCTTACACAAGTGCTATTCTTTGGCAAGCAGTTTCACTGGGAATACTCCAATTCCGGTTGGGGTATTACCCATTATCGTTCTAATCTAGTTATACTTGAAAATATTTTAATGAAATAGTATACATATTTGTTTTTGGATGTTATCCAAGTAACGGGGATCAATGATAAGGGAAAATGTTTTCTTTCCCTCTGATGTGAAATGCACACTTGAACTTTCACCCCAATGGCTCTGAAAAGAAAAAGAAAACAGATCACAACTAAAAGGTTCAGATCAAATCCCTGGAAACTCTCCAAGTGGTAATTATCCTACCAACACTTCCCTTCCTCTAGAAACCATGAACCTGTATTTAAAATTACTGTTGCTTAGAGCAGACAGCCAATACATTTTCCTCTTCTTTTATTCTCCCTCCCCTTAAGAAAAACAAGGGGTTTTACTAGTGTTTTATTTCAAGTGTGTGTGTGTGTGTGTGTGTGTGTGTGTGTGTGTGTGTGTGTGTGTGTTGTTCTGCAATACATGTAATACAGAGAGATAATTGATTGAATCTTTCTGGTGTTCTAAGACTAGAAGGAAAACCATCTTTTATCTCATTGAATTTAATTCAGACTGGGTGTAACTCTTCGCATTCTGTATTTAGGAAAACAGCCATTTAACTCTCTGAAAGCACACATCAAACATCTGTTTATACTGTTGGTAATGTATGTTTATGTTTTACAATTTAGCATTATATCATCATATTCCACATCAGGAAACAGAGAGATTGTTATGTACATTGCTAAAATGGTGGCTCTTCCTCTGGGTCATATGCCTCATGTTCCAAGTCTGGCCCCACACTTGCCAGTATCCTGCATTCACTCGTCTTTCCAATTTAAGAGAAGTCTTTTCCTTTCTATGTGTGCCACAGAGCTCAGGCTAAGAATCGGTTCCTTCAAAAACTTTTGCTTAAGTCTTTACATATGTTTTTTAATGGACATGGTATTAGATCATGTGATCATCTCTCTTTCTTCCCTTAAGCCCCTCCCAGCTACTGATCTAAACTCTCCCACACCCCCACTCTCTTTTTCTTTCTTATTACTTACATATACGTGTTTGTGTAGGTATCTATGTATGTGTGTGTATGCACAAATATCTAAAATATCTTACATTTATTTCTCCCTTGTAATTTTTCATTGCTTATTTATTAGTTCATGAATTAGTTTGGACATACAAGTATCCACTACCTAACTTGTTGGAACCATTGCAGACAAAGCTCGTGTCTTTTTACTTAGTTATTTTCTCTAGATTAAATATAATGAGTAATAATGGTTGTATTTTAGACCATAGAAAATTAACAAAATAAATATGTTGGGGTCGGGAAATCTATTTCCTTGAAATGACTCTTCAAAATTAAAAGGACAGGTGGGTGAATGAGCTTTCCCTGGGATCATGGGGAAAGTGCAACAGCTATTATCTTATATGCCCTTAGCAATCTCTCCTTTTATTCTCCAAACTGTCTCCTTAACTTGGTTCACTGATTTCTGAGACAATTTTTATTATTTAAAAATACATTCTTACTCAGAGTGTTTTTCTGAGAACGTACCATGTTGGATTTGAAGACTATCAACTTTTAGTCTAGTTGTGAGTCTTTCCTTCTTTTTTCCTTAATGCAGATTTGATTTGAAATATTGATAATTTCCTACATGATTACAGTATTCATGTTATTTCCATTCCCTCTTCACTCTAACACCTCCCCTTGTCCATCCCAAATTTTTCTTTTTAATTTTGAAGAATCATTCAAATCCATGACTTCTTTGTTGTCAAGCACATATTAAATTAATTAACCTGAATAAAACAGACAGAATATTCTGGGAAGACTAGTAAGTTTGGATGCAAAACTAGTTCTAGATTTTGAAGAAAATATGACTGGAACCCCAGCATAGCCTAATAAATAGGAACATTATTTTACCCTTGGATGCGATTTGAGGAAAATCATTTTTCCAAACATAGCAGATGTTATTATGCTCCTAAAATTCTTTTCTATTTTTTTCTCTTTCCCCCACTGGTATTTATGGACTTTGCAAAGCTCTGTAGCTGCCCCGGAGGGCACAGCCTGCACTGCAGGTTTTTCTATCAGCACCTGAGAGGAAAGTGGAAGAAGCCGAGAGTGTTC